GGATGAATCCGTCCAGCCCCACTCTTTCCCACTTCCCAGCAGCACCCTCTTGCTGTCCTCATCCCACACTAAGTGACTCCTTAATGTTTTTAGTTCTAGGCATCGTCAGTTGCCTTAGCTCCAGCTACTGTAACAAAACATTGCAGCCGGGCAGCTGCGGCAGCAGCCCCGTTTCACTGTTCTGGAGGCTGGACGTCTGAGGTGAGGTGCCGCCTCCTGCCTTACCGACGGCCACCTTGCCGCAGTGTCCTCACGTGCAGGAGAACAGACCCGTGTTTCTGCCAGGGCACTGATCCCACCCTCGTGACCTCGTCTGACCCTCGCCACCTCTCCAGGCCCCTCTTCCTGAACCGTCCCATTGGGGTTAGGGCTCCCTAGGAGTTGGGGGGACACACAGATGTTCGGTCTGTAACACCTGTTGGTTTCACGTGATAACGGCAAGCAGGAATTTCCTCACACACCCCTCCCCGGCCACATGCTGCACTCCTGCTCTCCCGCCCAGGGGGCTTCGTCAGGAGGGGGTCCGCAGGGCTGCTGGGTGCAGAGGCGGGGACAGGAGGGCAGGCTCACCTCATCGGCCTTCCTGCCTAGCCTTTTGTTTTCCCTGGAGGCGGTAATCTCTCTAGTCCTGTCTTGCCAGTTTACCCCAGACCCCTTCCAGCCACAGAAGCCTCCTTAGCTCCGGTATTTGTCAGGTTCTTCGTCTCTGGGCCACTCTTCTTGGGCCTCCCTGGGTGTCCCTCCACCATCACCCCGCAGTCTCTCCCTGCGCCTGTGTGGGGTGTGGTGAGCCGCATCCTTTCGTAGCTTCCTGAGGAAAGGGGGGTGGGCCACGGACCTTGGAAGAGAACCCCCACACTTCCTCCCCCAGGTCCCCCAGCATTAGCTGCTCACCGCTCACTTGCCCCCTGCCCCCCCGCCCTGTGTGAGTGGGTCACTGTTCCCTGAGCCCCTGGGAGGAGGCTGCAGCCACGATGCCCTTTTACTCACAGACCCTCAGGCATGACATCGTCATCACCACGTGCAGGAACCACCATCGGGGGCCGGCGTTGGTACAGCACTGCTCGCTGACCTGCAGCCCTGAACGCGGTTACCCGTGTGCCCCACCAGTGTCCCGGGTCACAGGGTAAGGAAGGGTTACTTCCGTCTTCTTTGTCTTTAAGACGTTGGCCTTCTGAAGAGTATGAGTCAGGCACTGGGGCCAGTGCAGGTGGAAGAGCATCTTCCCAAGCTGTGTTTCAGACGGCGCATCATTCTGCCCTCACACCAGGTCTGCGTCTGGCCGACTAGAATTTGGGGCTCCCTCAGGGTCGGTTTTTCCCTGTGGAAGACTCCCCGGAAGGAGGATGTCCTGAGGACGTCTCCTTCCGGGCCAGGCCGCCTCTCCCCGGAGTCTCCCATGCTCTCTCCCAGGAGGCCCCCCACTCCCGGTCAGGGGGCCTCCCTCATCAACTCGCACACCTCATCCTGAAAGAATTGGCCTTGGCTGCTTGGAGTGTTCTGTTTTCATTATCTTTCCTATTTTCCCTGTTGATTTTCGGATCTGCTTTCTAGGAATCGCCCTCGGCTTTACACCCCAGATGTTCTGTTGGCCTCCTGCCCCCGTCAGTGCTCGGAGGCCCCCCAGCTGTCCCCAGGTCGCTGCAGCATCACAGGATCCCTGGGCGTGACGACCCCTCTGGCCTCCCGGAGATCGCAGTGATGCTGGTGGCTTGTCTTTCAAGTTTCCCTCTTTATTTCTTCATCTCCCCCGGGTTGGCCTCGGTAGCTGGCTTTGGTTTGTCTGTTTGTCTAAGTCACGGACTCCCGCGAGCACTGGGGCGGCTGGGGGATGCTGGGTGCTCCGGTGGGTTGATCTGTGGCTTCAGTGGAGGTGCTGGCCAGCCTCCCATATCCTGGCGCCTTCTGCCCAGGCTGGTCGCCACCCCTGTGCCCCCACATTCCCCATCGTGGTCCTGCCAGGTTAGCAGGGGGGAAGGTCCAGGAGTCTCAACCTTCCGGAGCCCGAGGGTCCACAGGCGGCCCAGTGTCACACCCACACCCTGACCGCTCGTGTCCCGTAGCTCCCTTGCCTACACTGCCCTTCCAGCCCAGTTCTGTTCTTATGTGTGTTCTTTTTCCTTTTTCGTCCTTAACTCACTGCACATCTGCAGGATTTGGGACGCTGTGTGTCCCTCTGCGCGTCCGCCTGATGTGCCCTGGCCTCTTTCTGGCCTGTTTTGACTCAGCTGAGATACCGCTGTGTACCATGGTTTTTTTCTTTTAACATCCTAACAGTGTAACATTTTCTCACACTTTACAAAGCTAGGAAAACATGTCTGGTGCTGGTTGGCGGTGGATGGCTGTGCCATCACAGGCTCCAGCGATTCTGTTATTGAGTATTAACTTTCTTGTCCTTTCTGAGTATTAAGAATGGTCCTGAAATGAGCATCCTGTGCATAAAATGTATGTAGTATGTGTCCTTAGGAGAGAATTCCTGCTGGAAATCATGGGTCAGGGAAGCTGAAGCTCTGAAGAATTTGCAGGGCGGCATTCACAGGGAAAGAAAGACAGTTTTCAGCTGCTTTGATTCCTTAATTTATCTGGAGAAAGAGCCCTAACGCGGGGATGGTGGGATTCGCCCTCTCCTGGTGTTGAGGCCCCCGCCCCCGGCCGCGCTCGCAGGCCGCCCCTGGCCCACAGCGCCCCCTGGTGGTCCCCTGCCTTGGGCCGGCTCCTCGGCTCAAAGGAGTCGCTCCGTTTGGGGCATCACCTCCATAGCGAGGAGACATCAGAGTGTAGAGAGGAGGAAGCTGTAACTTAAAAAGACGGAGCAAGAGAAGCCAAGCCTGAGGTGGCAGAGGGAGAAGCTGAGCTAGGGTGGTTGCTCTGCAGGGCCTCCGGTGGCCCAGGCCCTGCAGGGTGTCGGGGCCAGGCCCTCTGCGTCCTGTTGTCCCCTCCTCGGGATCCCAGAGTCAGAGCACAGCTCTGGGCCCGTGTTGCACAGGGAGGGGAAGGTGGGTGGCCCTCGGACCCGCATGCTGCATCACTGGGACGGTGGCAGGCTGATGCACCCCTCTGCCTGCTCAGGCCTGCAGGCTGAGCCCACTCAGCAGCCTCCCGGGCCGAGGCGGCTCGCAGACAAAAGGCATAGATGCTGCTCCAGTGAGTCACCAGGCAAAGAAAGGCCTTTCTATGGAAAGCAGCATTTGCTGGGGCTTGGTTCTCCCCTGCATCCAGAGCGGGCAGGCCAGTTGTACGGACAGGTGGTGGGTAAGCCGGCGTCCTCTGCCTCAGCGGGCTGGCCTCCGCGTGGACAGGCCGCCGGGTGGGCCAGCTGAGGCTGGTTGCCCTTGCCCTCTGCTGTGTGTGCACACTTACACACTGCCCCCTCGGCGTCCCCACTAGGTTTCCTCCCTCTCCCGTGCCTTCCATCACCTCCTGGGTCTCTCGCAGCCATCCCAGGTGCCCAAGTGGCCGTCCTCAAGAGCTGGTCCTTGAAGGTCTTGTGATGCCCTGAAGGGATGTGAGCTGCTTCTCCCAGGACTGCGCCCACCTGTGTGGCCATGACCTAGGGGTCTCACATCCCCCAGACAGGGCCTTAGGCACCCAGGACCCCTGCTGCAGACCATCGGCCACACGAGCTGGACAGGCGCACTGTGGCCAAGGGTGCTAGAAGAGGGGCTCCTGCGGGCTGTGGGTTTCCATGTGTGGGTGAGAACCTGGGACCTGCCCCGGGGCTGCAGGGGATCGACCTGGCATGTGGAGGGCCACGCGCTCTGCACAGGGACCGAGGCCGTATGTGAGAATGGCAGCACGCACACAAACCACGCCGATGGCAGCTACTGTTGCGCATCTGATGTGCGACCCCAGCCGGCGCCCTGGGACCCCGCGCAGGGCACCGGCCGACGGCTCCCACCCCCTCATTCACTCTGCCTCTCCTTCAGATGCTGGACGAGAACCACCACCTGATACAGTGCATCCTGGACCACCAGAGCAAGGGCAAGACAGCGGAGTGCGCCCAGTAAGCGCCGCGTCGGCGCCTGGGTGTCCGGGCCCCAGGGCCCCCCCGCTAAGGTGTTCCCCAGGGAGACGGTGTGGAGAGGCTCCGCGGGAAAGGGGAGTGTGGGAGGCGAGGGCTCAGCTGGCGGCTCCGGGCAGCGGGCGGACAGACGCAGCGGTGAGCTCCTGTGGGTCGGGCTTGGAGTGACGTCCGGGGCTGGACACAGAAGGTGCACGAGCTGGCATCAGGGGCACGGGTGTGTGAGAGGGTGTCACACCCGCCAGAGAGGTGCAAGGGGCCACTCCGCACCCCCAGCCCAGAGGCTTTCCCATGTGGGACTGAGCCCCCTGTTTCCTTGTAGGCCCCTTCAGGGGGCTGGAGACATGGAGCCAGCCTGGTGCCAGGCCAGCTGGAGGAGGGCTTGTCCTCTAGCGTCTCCCTTGGCCCCGCCTCCTCTGACCCACTCTCCATTCCACCGTCGGAAAAGACCCTGTGTCACCTCCCCCTTAGCCACCACCGTAGGGCCTTCATGGCATTTGTCCTCGGACAGCATCCTGCTCCCTGCCTGGCCTCATGCTGCACCACCACCCGCTGTGAGGCCTGCCTTGTCCCTGGGCGTCACCTGGGGTCAGCTTCCCCCTGGGGCTTGGCTGCAGGGCGAGGCTGTTGGGTAAACCTTACTTCCGCTTTGGGTCGGCCGCAGTCTCACCGCACACCCCTTGCCTGCAGGTACCAGCAGATTCTGCACCGGAACCTCGTCTACCTGGCCACAATCGCGGACTCCAACCAGAACGTGCAGTCCCTGCTCCCTGCAGTGAGTGCCTGGGGCGGGAGGGCTTCCCATTCCCGCCCAGGACAGCCAGGCACTGCCTCCGAATGCCAGGGGGCAGCAGAGGTCTGAGCCTCCCCCAGGGTATCCAGGGTGACAGGAGTGGGGGGAGGGAGCGCCCTCGTCACAGGGGCAGTCGGCCAGGCGGTGTCGGGCATGGACTGGTCAGACTGTGGCCTCAGCTTCTTTAGCAAAGGGAGGTGACCCCTGAGGGACCAAACTCAGAAACGACAGGAGGCAGGTCCTGGGGAGAATGACGAGTGGCTTGGGGTCGTCACTGTGGAGCCTTCTGAGCGACCTGTAGAATGGGCCACGAGCGTGTTCCGCTGGGTCCAGAGTGCGTCTGACCCAGTATACTACACAACTCAAGTGTTAATATTTCATTTTCTGCAAACATATTTTCCTAAAATTTAATTATGGGTCCAAAGGCAGGGTCCAGCAGCGGCTGCCTCAGGCCTCCTTCATGGTGAGCCTGGTGGCCTTTGTTGACTGTGGTGGGCAGGGAAGTGCCAGGACAAAAGTGTCACTGGGAATGGCTGACGTCCTGATGCCCCCTTGTCCCCTGGAAAGTGGTGACATAATAAATATCAGAATGTGTTTTGCTGTCGAAAATGTTAGACCAGCCTTAACTGACCTATCAAATTGGGATTCTATACCTTGGAGATCCCAGCAGATCTTGCTAGAAACTTCATTTTCTTGGTTAGGTGTAGAGGCATCTGTGTCCAAGCCTTTGGAGCTACCGTTTGATGTAGATCTGGGAGATGAGGGTGGGAAGGGTCACTTGTAATCCTGGTCTCCCTTCTGTGTCCTGTGATCAGAGGTGGGCTTGCAGGGGTGGGGAGGGGGCAGAGCATCTGCCCAGGTGGAGTATCCTGGGAATGCAGCCACTGAGGCACAGAACAGCCTGTGCAAAGGTCCTGGGGCATGGGGGACCCCATGGGGGTGTGGATGAGGAGCAGAGATGCCTGGCCTTCTGAGCCTGAGGGGGCTGGGAGGGGTGTGGAGCAAGACGAGGTGGACGCAGCCTGCTGGGCCTTGTGCAGTGGTTCCCTGTCCCCCAGCAGTAGGGAACCCAGCTTTGGACCTTCACGTGCATATTGCTATACTTGGTACTTGTCTAAGTTCTGAGGATTTACATAGAAAACTTGGTGTCTCATCGCCATCGTGGCCTGCGGTGCTCAGGCCTGATAACCTGTGGCATCCAGCCGAGTGTGAGAGCAGCAGCTGATCACAGACATTTGCCAGGTGACCATGGAATGTAGCTGCAGATCCCACGGGCTGCCGAGTCCTGGGTGGCTCCTGGTGGTTGACTGTCCTCTGTAACCTTCCTGTCTCCACAGCCGCCAACTCAGAGCATGAGCCTGGGCCCCGGAGCGCTGTCCCAGAGTGGCTCCAGCCAGGGCCTGCACTCCCAGGGCAGCCTCAGCGACGCCATCGGCTCGGGCCTGCCCCCACCCTCTCTCATGCAGGGCCAGATCGGCAACGGTGAGCAGGCTGAGCACCAGAGTGGGGCTGGTTCCCGGCAGGCTACCAGGCGGCCGGCTGTCACCATGGTGCAGCCCAGGCCCTGTGGGGCCGAGCACAGGAGACCCAGAGGTCCTGTGCAGGGCAAGACATGTAGAGGGAATAAAGTCCTTATTCTCCTTTGACACTCAAATCAGGGGCTATCCAGTCGGGGGCTCCATGTGGATTTCCTGACGAGCAAAGTGCTTGGCCTTTGGATGGAAAAGCCATTGGGAGCTAGTTAACAATGTGACAGTAAACAGGCAGCACGTCCACTTTGGTGGCATGTGTGTTTATTAGTTTTTTAATCACTTAACTGTGCACTTCACTCCCAAGTGCTGTTGGCCATCAGCTAGCCTCCCTCCCCACCGTCACTTGGCCTGTGCCACCAGGAAATGGTGTCCGGCAATGAGGCCAGGCCTTCCACCCACAGGGTTCAGATGGGTTTAAGGCCCCCCTCCTTGTCCCTCCTGGCAGGTCCAAACCACGTGTCCATGCAGCAGACGGCTCAGAGCACGCTGCCCACCACTTCCATGAGCATGTCGGGCAGCGGCCACGGCTCGGGGCCCGGCTACAGCCACTCGGGACCCACCTCACAGAGCGTGCCCCTGCAGGGGCAAGGTGCCATTGGCAACTACGTGTCTCGGGCCAACATCAACATGCAGTCCAACCCAGGTACCGCCCTGCTTGGCCCTGGGGCCGCCCCCACCTGACCCTGGGCCTGTCTCCGCAACCTTCTGAAATGTGTGCAGTCCACCCACCTGGTCCCAAGGGGCTGCCCTCCTCCTGCTGGGCGCTGGGCTGCTGCTGGCAGGAGGGCAGGGTAAGTCTGAAGGCCACCCTCCTCCCAGAGCCTCCAGAAAGGCAGGGCATGGTGGCACAGGCCAAATGGGGCCAGCTTTGAGGGGCTTCAGGGAAACCTGAGGGGTAGCGGCCTGTGCCCTGCTGGGAGGGTGAGGCTGGGCTCACAGGACGAGGCAGGGGCGGCAGCCTCGGGCACAGAAGCGGGTAGGATGTGGGCCGCACATGCCGAGCCAAGGGTCCCTGCTGGCTCGCGTCCCAGTGAGCACTGGGGAGGCACCAGGTCCAAAGTGAGAGGCCCCGTGGGTGCCAGACACACCAGACTGGAAAGGCTTAGTACAGAAAAGGAAGATGTGAAGGAGCTCTTTGATTTTTTTGATATTAGTTACATATTGAAAATAATCTATTTTGGACATATTCCATCAAATAAAATGTGTCACTAAAATAGATTCCACCTGTTTCTTTTTACTTCATTGATTTGGCTCACATCCCACTATCGGACAGCGCTTGCTTGAGGGGGTTCTGAGCAGGCTGCCATGAGCAGAAGGGTCAGGGGTGGTGGCCATCAGGAGCCTTAGAGGCCAGGTCTCAGGTGGGCAAGGCAGAGGCTCTTCTGTCACCAGCCTTGGGGAATTAGGGGCAGCGAGGGCAGGACTCATGTTTCTGTGCGTGAGAGGGGGCTGGTAGCCATGCGACGTGCTTGCTGACATTTTCCGAACACTGCCCAGCTTCAGTGGTGGGAGGGGTAACTTGGAGTCAAAGGGCAATCCGTTGGGGGAGCTGCAGGAGATCAGAGAAGGGTGCTGCGGGGCCTGTGGTGAGGGGCTGGGGCCTGCCCTGTGAGCTTCTCGGGGTTATTCGGGGTCTGTCGTGTCGCCCAGTGTCCCTGATGCACCAGCAGGCAGCCTCGTCCCACTACACCTCGGCACAGGGCGGGAGCCAGCACTACCAGGGCCAGTCGTCCATCGCCATGATGGGCCAGAGTGGGCAGGGGAGCAGCATGATGGGGCAGCGGCCCATGGCGCCCTACCGGCCCTCTCAGCAAGGTAATGCCAGGCCCACACTGCCCCCGGTCCTGCGGCCGGAGGGTGGTCTCGCCCAGCTGCGCTGGAGCAGGGCATGAGGCTCCGCCCGTCCGCGAGGATCAAGCAGAGGTGTTGGGGTCAAGCCAGTGGGACTAACGAAGCATGGATGTTGGGAGCGGTGCCTTCCTGGAGGACAAGGAAGTGTCCTCCTTGCCCCACTGTGTGGGGTCAGGGTCGGGGTCAGGCATAGGGTGGGGGGGAGGGGGAGGCTGTGCTGTAAACAAAGTCCAGGGTATTGGGGGCTGGATGTGGGGGAGAGTCTCCTGGTATCCTGGGGCATCCTCCGATCTGAGGCCCTTGAGGGGTCCCCACATAAGGGGAGAGCCTCCTGAGTTAACGCCTGTGTGCGCTGTCTGCCCCCAGGTTCGTCCCAGCAGTACCTGGGCCAGGAGGAGTACTACGGTGGCGACCAGTACGGCCACAGCCAGGCGGCCTCGGAGCCCATGAGCCAGCAGTACTACCCCGACGGTGAGGCCTGTCCCCGTGCTGTCACGGTGGCGGCATGTCACCACAGCTGCTGACCACTGCTCCCAGCCATTCCCAGTTCAGACCAGTCATGTCTGCTGTCCGCCAGCAGGGCGTCCAGGGCCCCTGTGCCTGCATGTTTCGGGGCAGGGGTGAGGGCCGGTCTTGGCCCAGCCCCTTGCCTCCTTCAGGCTGCTCTTGTCCCTTCCTGGGAGGCAGTAGCAGTTCAAGGCTGAGATGTGCAGTCCTGTGAGTAGGTGGATTTAAATGTTAAAGGACACACGCTTTATTGTGAGGTGCCTCCGGGAAGCTGCTAGACCCTGCTGTTCTGTGTGACACTCATGTCCCAGCTGCTCATTATCATTTCTGCCAATGATTTTCCTTTAAATTGCCACCTTTCAGTCATTTTTAAATAGTCCAGGTTTGAGGAAGTGGCCTTCAGAATGGTCATAGCGGATGAGTGGGATTGCGGGAGGAGGATGACCCTGGGCAGGGAACCTGCGTGAGCATGGGGTGGGCTGACCAAGGCAAGTGCAGGCGCGCTGTGGGCCCTGCATGCTGCCGACAAGACCTCCTGCGGGGCCAGATGCCCCCAGAGCAGGTGCAGGATGGCGGTCACACAGCAGTGCTAGTGGCTAATGGCCACGGGGGCCTGTGTTCAGGCACCAGCTGTCCTCCCTCCTCTTTATCCCCTCGGCCGGAATCTGCTCGCCGCTCACCCCGCTGAAAGCAGGACAGTAGCCTGCGCTTTGAGGGAAGGGGCGGAGGCGAGAGGCCTGCAGAGCTCCCGCAGGAGCTGGTCATCCTGGGGAAGCCAGAGCCTCACCCAGGTCTGGACTCCCCCAACCTGACAGCGTTGTATGCAGGGTCTGGGTGGCCAGGCCCCCGCTGACTGCAGGTCGCCTCTGTTTGCCTGCAGGACATGGTGATTACACATACCAGCAGCCATCGTACACAGAGCAGGGCTATGACCGGTCATTTGAGGAGTCCACGCAACACTACTATGAGGGAGGTAAGGAGCCTGCCTCAGCCTTGCCTGGCTGCCACTGGGTGCTCATAGGGCTTTATGTGGTGTAGGCTGGCCAGGTCCCCGCCTGCCTCGTGTGGGTTCATGGAACAGGAGAGGGTTTGGCTGGCCTCAGTCCCCACTACCTGGTCCAGCTGACCTGCTTGGGGCCTGTGAGCTGGTGGCAGAGCCTCCTCAGTGGGCAGTCATCCAAACCGGGTTGGCCAGCAGGGGTCCAGGCACCCTCTGCCCTCCCGAGCCAGGCTGGTAATGCACATGGGGCACGTGGCTTTGTAGGGTATGGCCTGGGCATTTCTTCAAACACCAGCTGGCCACACAGAGTGCACCTTTGGGTCCCTGCACAGTGCTCTCCATGGGGTCTCACCAGGGCTGCCCGGCAGACGGGGGCTGCAGCTGAGACCTGCTAGGGGCTGGCCCTCCAAATAAAGCCCAGGTCTGGATCACCCGCCCGTTTCTCTGCAGCAAATTCTCCCACCCTGGCTGACAGTTCAATGCCACCAAATATGGCATTGGGCAGGAGTATGCAGTGGGCTCTTGAGTGGGTGCCCGCTGCCCAGCTGCAGGCAGAGGCCCTGGTCCTTCCTGGGGGCCCTGAGGGAAAAGGGTGACTTGCAGGCCAGCAGGCACCCCAACTCTGGCTCCTGTCTGGAAGACAGCCATGGAGAAGGTGGGGTGGTGCTGGAAAGCCCCGAGGGAGGAGACAAATGATAAATGTGGAACATGGGATGTGTAATCACCGAGCTTTTTGGTAGCATTTTAAAAAACTGGTAGAAACACATAACAAAATCCACTGTCTGACAGTCTCTCGGGGCGTGGCTCTGTGGCGGACATCCCCACATCACACTGCAGCATCGCCATTGTCCCCAGGGCGATTTGGTCCTGAACTGAGATCGGCCCCATTAAACGCTCACCGCCACCCCCGGCCCCCAGATCCCTTCGCTCTCTATGAATCTGCTTCAAGGGAGCTACAGGGACCTGCACAGTCCTTGTGCCCGGCCCTCCCATGCGCACGCATCTGCAGGCCTGCCCATGTCTGAGCACCGTGGCTGCAAGTGGCCCACTCTCAGTCCCGGTCCCTCTCCTACTTGGGCAGTGGGAGCTGACACCCACTGAGGGCTGCGGACCGCCAGGGGAGGGTATGCGTGTTTATCAACCAACACTGCGATCAGACTGCCCTCCTTAAGGCTGAAGGACACTCCGTGGCCTTGTAGACTATATTTTGCATATCCGTCCGCTGGTGGACACGGCTACTGCCACCCTTTGGCTGCTGTGAAGGCTGTGTACCAATCTGTGTCCTTCCTTCATTTCTTCTGGGCTCACACCAGAAGGCCTATTGCTGTTTACAATGTTTGAAGAGCCACCACCCTGCTTCCTTAGTGCAGGTAAGCTTTGTAGTTACGCAGGATATGAGCTAATAGACAATTTGGAAAATACAGGAAGTGACCCATAAGGCTGTGCTGCAGTCACTGCCAGTGTCCCTGCAGTGGCTTCTCTGCTCACATGTTTGCGGACTGGCTCACTAAAGTGGGCTCAGACCCAGTCTCCCAGCCCTGGGGTCTGGGCCCTGGGGGTCCCTGCCCGTGCAGCCAGCCCTGAACAGCTGCAGGGACCTGGCCGTGGCCCTGGTGGATCAGAACCGATGGTGACCAGGCGGCAAGAAGCAGCCTCCCGTCCACCTCCGAGCAACTGTTCTCCCCCTGCATTCACAAACTGACCCTCAGGTGACGCCCGCCTTCACAAGCAGGTGGCTTCTGTGCTGTTTCCCTCACTGCGACTTGGGCAGCTGTCAGGCTGCAGCCAGTCTTGCCTCTTGTCAGGACTATGGCTGTATGTGACCTGCCCATGACCTCCTCAGCCTCCCCCACCATCTACACATGACCTTGGCCTCCCCGCTGTGACCTGTCCTTGACATTTTTGGGCTCCTGCCATGACCCACCGTGACCTTGGTTGTCCTGTGATCTGCCCGTGACCTCCTGAGCCCCCTCATGATGTGCCCATGACCTCAGCTTTCCCCCTTCCACACAGAGAACTTGTGTGTGACCTGCCAGTGACCTCGGGCTCTCCTCTGTGACGTGCCCGTGACCTCCTTGGGCCCTGCCGTGACCCACCCATGACCTCAGCCCCCCAGCCTGTGACCTGCCTATGACCTCCCCCTCCATCCCCCCATGGTCTGCCATGACCTCAGCACTCCTCCCTGCCCCCACCGCTGATGCCTGCAGGGAACCGCTTATGGACACCACAAACACTGTCTTCTTGGGGGAGCCCAGGCTCGTGTCCACCACTGTCCTCGCTGCTAAGATCGGCGTCAGTGAGCACTCTGTGCCATGTGTCCGACACCTTGGCCGTTTCTCGGGCAACCATTCTCCTCCCGCCCCGCCCCCTGCACTCCTGGGCCGCTGGGGTTCAGCTTCGTCCTCGGGCTCTGCTCACGCCAGCTCCACCATGTCCGAGGGTGGGTCCTAAGAGGATAGGGCGTTCGGGCAGAAGTGACCACCCACAGCCCGCTCAGGACTTGCTGCTGGAGGTGCGCACTTGTGCCCTTGTTTGGGGTGCATGGCCTTGTCTTCTAGACTTGAGGCCTCGTGTGTAGTGAGGCATGGGTGTTTGCTTTGAGAAGCTGGGGTGTGGATAAGTGGCCTGTGGCCCCCGAGGATGAGGGATGTTGAGTAGAAGCCATGAGGGCACAGATCAAAACCAATATAGAAAACTTTGCAGTAAGTGGATCTGTCCCACTCGGGATGAGGAACCCTGTGGGGCGCAGGTGGCTGGTCGTGGGCTTGTCAGAAGAGGCAGTGTCCCATAGGACAAGAGAGTACTAGTATGCAGAGGACCAGTGCTGGGGAGTGGCCTGGGCAGGATGAGGGGATGTGGCCCACGGAGGCAGGTGGGGCACAGGTCACCATCAGGGCCCCTGCCAGGCATGGCCTGGGAGCCTTGAAGTCCTGTCACATTTTGTTGCCGTGAGGTTTGCTGTCCGACTGGACACGTGTCCAGTGGGCACCGTGGCCGCGGTGGTCGTGTGGAGGCTCAGGGTGTCTGGGTGTTGCCCTCTGTAAAAACAAAGGGAAGCAGGATGCCACACTCACATCCATGCACACACATGCACACCATGTGACACTCTGGAAAAACACCCAGGACACTACAGGAATGGCTGTGATGGGGACCCATCTCCCTGCACGTCTTGAAGGTGGGCTTGGTTAGTTTTCATGATACCAAATCAGATGAATGTATGTGCTACTCAGAAGTTGAGCCTGAAGGTGCCAAGCATGGGCTGTCTTTGAAAGTCAGAGCCCCCACCCGTAGCTGAGGTCAAAACGGCCCGCAGTGTCCCCGAGTTCCATCACTGTGGTTTGTGTGGAACGCGACAGTGAGGTGATCCCTCATTTGTTCCCTAGCTGCTTTGCCATCACATTCCTCACCTGGGTCCCTTTTCTACTAGGACTGGACTTCGGGCAAAAGGGGGGCTGAGCCGAGGTGTTGTCGGCAAGGTCCTCCTATTGCTGGTGCCGGCCACAGCCAGCCACTTGCACGTGAATTAGCTCTCTAGCTGTCGTCACGTGGAGAGTAAATAGGGCCTTGAAATGTGGGAATGCGCAGGCTGACCAAAGCGCCTGAAGCCCTGGAGAAAACTCGCCCCGTTTCCGAAATGGCGAAGCTGGGCCTCCATCGTTGTTGCCGGACCCGGCGTCAGTTGCGAGGAAGGAGCTCAAGGTTGTTCCCTTAGGTGGCAAACGGTGGGAGATGCTACAGGATCTCAACAGTCCACCTAGAGAGGCAGCCGCCTTTCGATCAGAGCGCATGTTCACTCATTGTTCTTTCAAACTGCAAATTGAATTTCCTTAATAGGTTTTTAAGCTTTTCCAATGTGAATTAGATCTCAGTAAAGCTGTTACTTAAGAAAATCCCTAACCAGGACCCAGTTTTTAAATACTTGTATTTTACAGCTCCCAGAAAGGAAAGTTACTTACAACTGGAAAAATAAAGTAGAAAAACGGATTCTTTTGCTACCAGTTTGCATAATCTGGCCTCCACTTGCTTATTTCTGGGACATGTTTTGATTAAAACAAGAACAACTACAGTGGTCCCCCCTCATCCGCGGGGTCTCTGTCTGCGGTTCCGGTTACCCAGGGTTAACCCCAGTCTGGGAGCAGGTGCTCCTGCCGAATCGTCAGAAGGGCCACAGCAGCTGGCGCTGCGTCAGCGTCTGCGTCTCTCACCTCGGGTCACCCCCGCACCAGGCCCTTTATCATCTCACATCACAAGGAGGTGAGCGCAGGGCAGTGAGGTACGCAGGGAGAGACCACGTTCACGGAACTGTTACAACAGCACGTCGTGGTCATGGTCCTACTTCATCATGAGTCACTTGTGAATCCCTCACTGCCTGATTTAAATTTAAGCATAGTAAATTGAACTTTAAATTAAACTTTATAATGGTTAGGTGTCTATAGAAGGAAAACCATTATATATGGGGTTTGGTACTACCTGCGGCTCGAGGCATCCCCTGGGGTGGGTCACATCCCCCATGGAAAGGGGGCGGCACCCTCTCCGTTCCCTGTCCAGTGTCACAAGGGGACGCGCTCTTGGGTCCCATCCACCCCCTCTTCCCTTCTGCTGGAGAATTGGCTCTTATGCACACTCAGGACCCAGCACATCGCCAGTTAAAGGCCATGCACTTTGTATGGTTTTGAAGAGCAAAGCTCTGTTCAAAAGATGAAACGAGACTTTAAAGTGGTCTTTCTATAAAGGTGTTTGAAAACCATGAATGGAATTTAGTCTCTGTGCTGAATCTGAGTGGCAGCTCTTGAGGCCACCATTGGACAAGACCTTGTAGGAAGATCGTTAAGTGGTTGTTAATATCCCCTCTTAACTCTGGGTGGTTATTTGGTGATACATACATTGCTCTCCTAAGTTACTTTTCCTACTGCAAGCTTTCTTCCAAAATGATGAGGCTTTTGGCATGGGTGCTGTTCAGCGAGTTCGATTTTTGAACATAAGAATTGACATTCTCTGAAAAAAAGAAAAAATGAATCTACAATCTCTCTCAGGCTTCCCAACACACAGATAAAGAGCAATAGGTAAACACCTGCCTTTTTTATCCTCTGAGGCGCTAGTTTCGTGAAGTCAGAGAACAGCCCATCACGGGTCTGAGCTGAATCACATGCCCTTGGCCGCACATTTGCCAGTAAAATAAAAGTGTCCTGAGACTTAGGGGTCCTCTTGGATGTGACCTTGGAGTACTTCCTCGGGGGTTGCCATCTGAGAGAGCGCCGTCTTGCTGCTGTGGCTCTCGGTGCCTCCTCAGTGGGCTGATGTCCTTCCTGCTCCTGTCTCCCCAGCTCCGGGCTGCTGGCTTCTGTGTGTGCCTCAGTGTCCCTGTCTGTAAAGTGGGCATGTGGTAGTGCTTACAGACACTTTGTGTCACCTGCCTGGGACATTGTGGGCACCGGACATTGTTGCAACGTATTTCCTGATCAGTGAGAAAATATTTCTCAGTAATTGACCTACTAGACTTTTCTTGAAATAAATTTGTGGGCATAAACACCAAGCGTTCTGTGTTGGTGTATAAAACACATTGACGTGGGCTGTCCGCACGGAGGTTCAGTGCAAATGGCAAGGGTTTGCCATGTCCTCCATCACTGCTGCCTTGGGCTGGGCTTTTGGCTCTGTGGGTGTGTGCTTGTACTTCGTTCTTTTCCTTCACGACTGGACCCGTCGACCGGCTGCTCACACACACCCTCCCGCGTCTCCGCTTTGGCTGCTTCAGCTTCCTGGCCGTTAGTCTCCAGGGGCTGTTGTGACCGGGTGCAGAGCAGCAGGAGCTGACCTGCACCAGAGGCCCCAGGGCAAGCTGTCCCAGGGCTGGTTCCTTCCAGGGGCCTTTCCCAGCTCCGGGTAGGGAAAGGGCCCCAGCCTGCCTGTGCCATCACATGTCTGTCTCCCCGTGTTTATGCCCAGATTGCCCTCCTGGGAGGATGCCAGGCATCAGATTTAGGGCCCACCCTTATCTGTACGACCTCACCTTAATAATCACATCTGCAAAGACTCTGTTCCCCCATGAAGCCATGTCTACAGGCACCTGGGGTCAGGCCACCATCATCTTTTGGGGGACACAGTCCAACCCACAGCACCGGTATTTGTCTTGGTTGCAGTGACTGTTTGCTTTGGGCTTGCACCTGTGTTTCTGGAGAAGTGTCATGGAAGGTTCGACTCGTGAAGCACGGGCACCGAGGCAGGCGGGTGCAGGGACGTGGTCAGCAGAGACGCGGTCAGTGTGCCTGTGCCATGCAGGAGCGTCTGGGCTCTGGGCCTGAGCTCCGTGTCCTCCCTCCGCAGGGAACTCGCAGTACAGCCAGCAGCAGGCGGGGTACCAGCCAGGCACAGCCCCGCCGCAGACCTACCCCCAGCAGCAGTACCCCAGCCAGCAGAGCTACGCCGGGCAGCAGCCAGGCTATGGTAAGGAGCGCGGCGCCTGGTGACACTGCCGGTGGGGGCGGAGGGGCCGGGGGCACCCGACGCCCTCTGTGTTTGCTGTGGTCTGACTCCCGGAAGGGCTGCCAGGGCAGTGCAGTGTCCCCCATCATCACAGCCCACATTATCGGGGTGCATTGTTGCAACTAGAGCTTACACTGGGGCCCGACTGCGGTCTGATCTCACGTCAGCCCCGTGGCACTGGTTCCCCGGTGACCTTCTCTATCCAGGAGACATCTGGTCTTGGCTCCTCTGGGCCAGGACAGCTGCTCCAGAATCCCCGTCCCCCTGGGCCTTGGCTGTCACGGAGGACTGGGCGGGTACCTGGACCGTCCTTCAGGCTTTCCTCGGGGCTCTGGGTTATGGGTTTGGAAAGGAGAGCATGGTGAAGTGCCCTGTGACTGGCCTGTGCCAACGTGGGTGTCCTCAGATGTTGACCTCAGTCACTTGACCAGGGGCGTTGTCCAGGTCTGGGCCTGTTTATAGCAGCTCTAATGCTGGGACTATCTACACAGGTTGGTTTTCTTCTGTAAGGACACCCAGGCCCTTCCCCCCTGTTTATCTAGTGATCAGTCACTGTGCTGACACAGACTCGGGCACCGGTAAGGAGTAGCCGTGGTGCCACTGGTCAAAGAGCTCTCTGTCTGGTCAGGTCACCCCAGCCTTGCCCCCAGGAGCTTCCCATCGGCCCCTGTGTCCCACTGACATGCCCCGCCCTTTGGTTTTTGAACATGCCCTTATTTCAGGCTCTGGAAGCCCCCGCTCCAGAAGCAGCCATTTCCCCAAGGAGGCCCGGTTCCTTCACAGGAGAACGGCATTAGCAACCGAGGTCTAGGGGTGGGTGGGGGTTCCCTGAGCCCATTTCCACTTTGTTTTCACCTGAGACAGTCCACGTGTGGGTCAGGCTGGCAGCAGCGTCTAGAAGTGCTTGTCCGTTCGTAGGCCTCACCCCGCGAGGACCCACAAAAGTGTAAAGGGGCCGTGGGTCTGCCAGACCATCCAGGGGAGCCCAGGAGACAGGCAGGTGGGTGGAGGGAGCTTTGTGAGCTGCAGGACACCAGAGGGAGAGGTCCTGCCTCCCAGAGAAGAGCAGCAGAAGGCAGGCGCAGTGTCACTGAGGCCGGCCGCCTCCCAGAGCAGGTTGCCCCAGGATGGTGACCGTCCCTCGCATCTGCCCAGTCCCTACAGGCTCGTTCCACCCACCCCCCGCAGGTCTGCCTGAAACTGTGGCCCTGGCCCCTTGCCTGTGGGTCGTGTCTGCCAAGAGCCCAAGACCACATGAACCGAACCTCTTCCAAGGTCCAAACCCACTCCCAGGATAGCACCTGGGCCCTGCTGTCCGGAACCGGGCACCACGCCTGAGCTTTCCTGGCGCTGCTGTCAGGAGGCACCTTGCTAGTGTTCCCACCACGTGATGGCCTTGCAAATTGTTCCCACTTAAAATCACAGAAAGGGCTGTCCTGCTGATGCGACCTGCATGGGTAAGTGATCAGCTCATTAAGGGACTGAGTTCAGTGAGTCTTCATGCAGCGTCCGGCCATCCACACCTGAAGCGTCCTGGTTCGACTTAGACATAGTCCTGCGTTCCCTCAGCGCCCAGAGCGGGCCCTGATCTTCCAAAGACCACACGCCCCGGGACCCCTGATGGCGGCTTTGACCTCCGTGGATACACATCCAGGCTGGTGGTCCTCCCCCTTTGCTACACCCTAGAATCACCTGGGAAGCTGTAAAAAAACAAGGTGCCCAGGTGGATGGTGTCATTGAACTCCCAGGTGGTTCTGATGCTTGGTAAGGAGGGAAAGCCATTTTGCAGCCAGGACTAATTAAATAGCATTTCTTGAAAAATTACTCAGCCCTGATCAGTTCTTTCCAAAACCTTCAACCTGGTTTCCACGGGAACGATCACTGTCTCTTGCTTGTGCGTCTTCACCAACTGCTGTGACATTTAACTCACGTGCTTACAGCCACCACCTTACTTGACAGAAGCTGCTTCCAGGAAGCAGGTGGGCCCGAGAGCTCGGTTCGGATTGAGCACCCTGGCTGTGGGGGACTTGTGCCATGAGAGAACGGGTACCACCAGCAGCCTGGAGCACGTGGGGTGGTCTCACAGGTGCTGCTGTGTGTCCCCAGGGCCTGCCCAGGGAGCCCCCTCGCAGTACTCCAGCTACCAGCAGGGACAAGGCCAGCAGTACGGGAGCTACAGAGCCTCACAGACGGGCCCGTCCGCCCAGCAGCAGCGGCCCTACGGCTACGAACAGGCAAGACGGTCCCAGACCGTGTCTGTCCGAACACACCGAAGCCTCTTGCGGTCATGAGGAATGACAACGAACTAACTGGCTTCCAACCCCTTCCAGAATGTTAACTCTCTGAGCCTGTGAGGTTTTTAAAAGTCGCCTCTATGTGCTCACCTTGGTCAGACACAGCTGGCTGAGTGACTTCATCGGGCCAGAGTGGGGGGCTGGCGGTGGGGGAACTGGTAGAGCCTTGCTGACCCTCTGATCTCAGTCATTAGCCACAGGTTTGGAGGGTGGCCTTCAGAAAGCCAGCGACCTCCCTGCCATGTGGAACTGGGCAGAAGGCTGCTGGCTGGCTTTTTGTGCCTCTTTCCCATCTCACCCTGGATGTGTGTTGGGCGGGGTCTGCCCTGCCTCTGGGTGTGGACCCTTTTACTCAGGACTACAAAGTATCATCTTTGTCTTGGTCTCTTGCAGGGCCAGTATGGAAACTACCAGCAGTAAGGGACAAGCCTTCTTGGTGGAGCCTTCCAGTGGCATGTCCGTCCAGGCGGGCGGGCAGTGGCAATTCAGATGACCTGTGACCTGTTGGTTGCCCTCTGCCCCACGCAGCATCTGCATGTGAAGCGTGCACATTGCATGCTGGGGATGATGCCAGGCGTGCACTGCCGGCGCGAGACAGCGCTCTGATGGTGTGACTTATTTGGTGCTGTGTATAGTGTTGTGTTCCATACAACGGAGAGATTGTCCCTTTATTGCCCCCTTCCCCCATGTTTCTAGCTAGCTTTAGGGGTCCTTTTATCACCAGAGTATTCTGTGCCCAGTAATGGGACGTATCTACAAAATTCCAGAGTCTCTGTGTTCATAGAAGCAGCCTCAGGTCTGGCTTCTCACACAGCCGTTGTAATGTGCTTTTGTGACTTGTCTTTCACTGGCTACACCTCAGCTGGACGCACACGCGCCGCCTGGATGGCAGCCTGTCCCTGTGCCTCGACATGGTGGTGAGAGGCAGCATCTGTGTTTTGGGTCGGTTTCTGTTACACAATGAAAAGGATAAAATATGCTTCATTTGGAGAGGCTGTGAAATGTCATTTCCAGAGCTCACTTGTTACCTGTGTCTCTTGCCAATGCCATATACCTGACATGTTATGTTTTTGTATTAAAAAGTAAAGAGGGATCAATACTCTGAATATATATGAATCCATGAAGGCAGTGTATGATCACATTGTCCAGGGAGAGAGGGTACTTCTCTGGGGTTACTTTGGCTTTGCCCTTGTTTATCTGATGGTCACTTCTGGGATTTGAATATTTAATATGCCCAAGTCTAAATTTATAACTTAAGATATTGATACCAGATTTTCAAACAGTTGGCAAGTTGTTTATTTTATATTATTTCCTCCAGGACCTGCCAACTCAGATCTCCAAGCAAAGAGTTCCTTTTCTTTTAGGGGTATCTGAAATTTTTTTAAAAACAGACCCACTAACTTTACTGTTTTCTTAATAGAAAGGGAAGGTTTTACATAGAGAAATTTGAGTTAATTTTACATCCCCAGTATAATGAATTCCATTTAAACTCTGCAAACAAAAGAAAGCTCCCTTGGAAAAGTATGGTCAAAGGAAAAATCCTCTATTTCACTAACAACTAATACATTTTATCAGCCTTTATCTCTGAAAAATAATGTTCATATTTACTACAAGTTCTTTATAAACATCTTTGGATAAATGCTGACATGTTTCTGAAAACATCCAAGAAAATACAACACAAATACCCAATTCTTGACATCAGGTCTGTAGATGATGTTTTTAGTTGAGAAGTTTTATGCTTTAAAATTTTAAAGTATTTATCCCAAGTTTACAAGATACTTTGAATTTTTTTTTTTGCTTGAATGAATCCTGACAGTCCACACTGGTCAACATGGAGGCAATTACTGTTCCCATTCTACAGATGAGCAACCGAGGCTCAAAGTACTGCCCTAGTCAAGTACCAGTTCTATTCTAGGATGCTCTCCCCTCTTCTGTGGAGACAAAATCACACCTACATTGGGATACAAGTATTTATTTTGTACGCATATGGGTTTTAAAAACCCTTAACACTGGTAAGGGCTTAAAAATACTTATCTATATTGAATTACTGATGTGAGAGTTCTTGACTGCTAAACCATGCAGACATTAGCAATTTTATTTAGAGTCATCACCTTTGATTTTGTTCTGTACTGTTTTTGCTGACAGTTTTCATAGTACTAATTTGCAAACTCCACTGGGGACTAAAATGTCCCATTGAAAATGTTAAACATTTCAGATAACTGTGAAAATAGTTTATTTTTATTCTTTGCCAGAAGGAAATATGCCTTTTGTGTGTGCATATGTTTTTTTTTAAGTGCTTTGTTAATACTTTTTGAAAGAAAAGGATACTTAACTATCCCAAAACTTCAATCTGAAATGTCTTACATTAAGAATTTCTTGAATGTTGTGTATATATTTTAAAAAGCACTTTGTGAGATAGTTTGTACATTTATTTCCTAATTTATACATGATTTTTGGTGTTAATATATTTAATGATTAATAACAATGTTTAACGTGTTGCTCATTTTTATGTTATTATGTATTCGTGGGGGAAAAGTGATGCCAGCAGTTCTTTTTCATTACCTGTATGGTATCTTCTCTATGACGTTTGCAAAGGCTTAGGCTGAACTGTGTGGTGTGGTGACGGTGCCCTGCTTTCTTAGGGCTACTTCCGCAGGAGGCCGGTGAAGATGCCGAGGAAGGTGGAAGTCCATGCGCATCCTCCCCCGTGTCCCTGACACCAGGCAGGTCATCAGTCTGGGAGACGATGACCTCGGTGAGGAGTGCCGACAGATCGCTCCTGGGACTGTAGAGCTCCGCGCCCGCAGGGCTTGCTGTGGAACCAGTGTTAAGTTTGCACTGCAGCCACGGCCGAGTACACGGTGCTCGGCGGACACGGGCCCTGGGACCTCTGGGCTGCCTTAACGCGTCCACGTAGTTGGAGCCTGAGCCTGTGATTTTGCCAGTTTTTGTAATAAATAGGTTTGAGCTTGGGCATCCATTCAGAATTGTACAGAGGAAGACCCCTTACCATTTAAAATGTTTAGCCATTCATTTCTCTTTACTGAGCGGGTCATATGCGTCTTATTTGGGAGCACAGTACATTTCTTGCAAGACATCCGATCAGTTCAATTTTTTCAGTCGGCGTTTGGCGTGTAAATTGTTCATGATTTGGTGTAATCTATCAATAAACTGATTCTGCAGAAGTCAGCCTAGAAGTGAGTGCTGGGTCCTCGGACGCGGCTGACGGGCGAGGTGGCAGGTCTGAGTCCTGTCCCCGCGGGGTGGGGCGCGGTCCGACCCCCGCCGGGCCGGAGCGGCAGCGGGGACCCCGGCCGCGGCGCAGACCCCGGGCGCAGCCGCGCTCGAACGCGCCTTCTGCACATGCGCGCCTGGGGCCGGGGTCGGGAGGGGTGGGGCGGGCCGACCCCGGAAGTAGTCCTCTGCGGTGCAGGCCCGGAAGTGGCGTGCCCGACTGCGAGGGTGAGTGCCGGCGTGGGGGCGCGGGGGTCGTTGCGGGGAGCAGGGCGCAGCCGCGGCGGTCCGAGTGCCTGCCGCCGGGCTCCGGCCGCGCCGCGGGCTTGCTGGCTCGGCGCCTCCGGCTCTTGGGCCTGACTCCCGGTTCGGGGCGGGCGCGCGCAGAGCCTCCGGCGCTCCCGGCGCGCTGCTGCGGGCACGCGTGTGAGCGCCCACGTGAGGCGTCGAGAAACCTCTCCGGCCCGACGTCCTAAGTTAAGACGTTTCCATCTGGCTGTTTCTTTGTAACTGTTAGTGGTACATAGTTGCACAAAACGGCGTAAGCACGTGCATTTTAATAAACATTTCATTAAACAGAAAAGCTTGGTGTGGATATACGCTCGAGAGAGATTGCTTCCCTCTTAGCCGTCTTACCCAAGGTGGAATTTGCGGAGGAAGGCAGGGTTGTCAGCACTACCATTCCTGTTTGTTTTCGTGGCTGTAAACACTGAGGAATCTTGTTCACACGGATGCGGGGTGGGAATTACGGCATTTTACTTGGCCACATCATTAGTGTATGTCTTTTTGGGAAGGAGAGGACCCTTCTTAGGAGGAAGGAGAATGGAGAACTCATTTCTTTTAAATGCAGGTTTGCTCTCTGGCCCCTCTGTTTTAGCAAAGAGAACATATAAAAAGTTCAGAAGCAGAAAATTGATTTCTTTAGAATTATCCTTGCCTTGGTTGCCCCCGAAGGTCATTGTCTCTTACCTCAGTTTGAATATTCCTGCTACGACAGGGGCAGCAATGTGCCGGAGAGGCCAGAGGACACTGTGTGACTTTGGGCAGGGGGCTCTCAGAGGCTCAGCCTCCGGTTTTAAACCGAACGTAAAGAATGTTAGGTCAGAAATCAGATGGCACCTTCACATTCGGGTATTTCAAGGAGAATTTTTAAAGGCACTGCTTAAGAAAGAGCATGTGGGAGGGCGACCGTGCTGCAGCTGCATCCTAGAGCTGGTCAGTGACGTGGCGTCTGCCCCTGGTGCCAAAGAAGCAGGACAGGGGCAGGAACCAGAACCGTAGGAGAGCAGGGTAGACAGGGCTTCCTTGACCAAAGTGTGGTGTTCCGTCCAGGCGTCTGAGGGGAGCGGGAAGTCAGTGCCCTGTGCTCCAGTCTCTGGCAGAGGGCAGGGCAGCCAGAAGGTAGGCATACAGGGCAGGCTCTTGAAATAGAGCTTGATGGAAAGTGGGTCTGGAGAAGCGAACATAGATGCCCAGCAGGCAATATTACCCCTCATGGGGTTGTTGTAAGGGAGAAGTTTAAATTTCTGGTGAAGGTTTAGAAGAGGTTCCTGGCAAGTAGTAACTTCTGTGGGCCAGTAGAACTGGGCTTAACACGTGGAACGGCAGTGCCAGCTGTGGTGGAGGCTTGCCGTGTGTTAAGGGCCTTCCCAGCACTTTTCAGGCCCACCCTGGGATCATGACGTCCACCAATTCCACATCACCGTTGTCTTTCCCTTTGTAGTTGTTGAGTGGGGCTCAGGAAACATGCTCCTAGGAGGAATTTAGGTTTACTTTTCAGGGTTCCCACTGGGCAGTATAGACCAGTGCTGTCCAGTAGAACTTCCTGTAATGGTGGAAATATTCTGATCTGAGCTGTCCAAGATGCTACCCAGTGGCCGCACGTGGCTGTGGGCACTTGAAATGTGGCTTGTGGGACCGAGGGACTGCATTTTTATATTTTTTTAATTTTTCATTAATTTAGACTTACTGGCTTATGTGGCTAGTGGCTGCCTCATTGGGCAGTGCAGGTATAGCAGAAGGAAAATCAAGAGCAGACAAAAATGTGAAACCAAGTTGAATTCGTTCACTAGCAAGGGGCAGCCACATCATTCAGGCATGCGTCCGGCTTGTTCTTCCAAACCAAAGGGCAAAATGGTGTCACGCCACGTGCTGGAAGTGTGCACCGCCTTTTGCTCCCTGTTGGGGGTAACAGTTACATCATCTCCCGTCAGCGTGTCAGCAGCAGTCGCCTTTTGTAGATTCCCTCTGTCAGGCTGGGGATGTGCCCTTCCGTTCCTGGTTTGCTGGGACTTTGTATTTTCCTGCGGATGAATAGGCGCTGACTTGGTCAGGCATGTGATGGGTGGTGTGAGGTGGGCGGGTGCCCACCAGCCCTCCTGCTGGGTGAGGTGCGGGCCCAGTTCTATCGCTGGACTCAGTGGGACACTCTTGTTCAGGATTCTTGCATCTATATTCATGAGGGTCAGGTTTGGTGCTGGGGTTTCACTGGCCTCATAAAATGAATAAGGTAGTTGCTCCACATCACTTATTATTAGGGAAATGCAAATTAAAACCACAATGAGATATCACCTCACACTAGTCAGGATGGCCAACATGGAAAAGACCAGGAAGGGAGGGATAAGGGTGGGGGAAAAAGAAAGAGGGCATTACAGTTAGCATGTATAATGTGGGGGGGCATAGGGAGGGCTGTGCAACACAGAGAAGACAAGTAGTGATTCTATAGCATCTTACTACGCTGTAATGGGGTGTGGGAGGTGGACTTGGTGAAGGGGGGAGCCTAGAAAACATAATGTTCTTCATGTAATTGTAGATTAATGATAACAAAATAAAAAGAAAGAAAGAAAGAAAGAAAAAAGAAAAGACCAGGAACAACAAATGCTGGTGAGGATGCAGAGAAAAGGGAACCCTCCTACACTGCTGGTGGGAATGTAAGGCTAGTTCAACCATTGTGGAAAGCAGTATGGAGGTACCTCAAAAAACTAAATATAGAAATACCATTTGACCCGGGAATCCCACTCCTTGGAATTTATCCTAAGAATACAACTTCTCAGATTCAAAAAGACATATGCACCCCTATGTTTATCACAGCACTATTTACAATAGCCAAGATATGGAAGCAACCTAAGTGTCCATCAGGAGATGAATGGATAAAGAAGACGTGGTACATATACACAATGGAATACTATTCGGCCATAAGAAAGAAACAAATCCTGCCATTTGCCACAACATGGATGGAGCGAGAGGGTATTATGCTCAGTGAAGTAAGTCAGGCAGAAAAAAGGCAAATACCAAATGATTTCCCTCATTTGTGGAGTATATATAACAAGGAAGCAAAACTGAAGGAACAAAATAGCAGCCGACTCACAGACTCCAAGAAGGGACTAGTGGTTACCAAAGGGGAGAGGTGGGGGAGGGCAGGTGGGGAGGGAGGGAGAAGGGGATTGTGGGGTATCATGATTGGTGCACATGGTGTGTGTGGGGTCACCGGGAAGACAGTGTAGCCCAGAGGAGAGAAGTAGGGACTATGACATCTTACTACACTGATGGATAGTGACTGCAATGGGGTATGGCGGGGGGACTCGATGATAAGGGTGAGTGTAATGAGCACATTGTTTTTCTTGTGAAAACTTCATAAAAGTGTATATCGATGATACCTTAATAAAAAAGAAAATGAAAAATGCAAAAAAAAGAAAGAAAGTAGCCATTGTACTAGGAAGGAAAAGGGAGATGCATGCAGAAATAAGTAGGTAAGAATGAGTCGTAGTAAAAAAAAAAAGTGAATAGGGTAATGATCTCACTTCTGTCTTCTGAGAAAGTTTGTGAAAGACGCTCTTACCTCTTCAGAGAATGTTTCATACTCTACCAGTAGAGCAGTTTGAGTCTGGAGTTTTCTCTTTGGGAATGTTCTTTTATAACATTCAGCTTCTTCAGTGGGTAAAGGACTATTTAGGTTTTCTGTTCCTTCAGTAAGTTACATTTTTCAAGAAATGTATCTATTTCACATAAGTTGTTGAATCTGTGGGCAAAAAAGTTGTTCCTCGTGTTGTCATTGCCTTCTGATGTGTGCGGGATTGGTACTGGGGACCCGCCTTGAGTTCCTGACCGTGGTGATCCCGGGCCTCTCCCAGGTAGTCTGGCTGGAGTGGAGGGCGGCCAGCTCTGCTCGCCAGGGAGCCGGTTCTCCAGCTGTGCTTGCTTTCTGTGGTTTGTCGGTTCTCCATTTCATTTATTTCTGCTCTTCATTCCTCTCTCCCCCTTACTTTGCTCTTTTCTTTCTAACTTGGAGCCTTAGGTCATTGATTTTAGGTCTTCCTTCTTCACTACTATAAGCACGGAGAGCTATGAGATTCCCTGTAAACGCTTCTTAGCTCCATCCCATACATTTTTGTATATTGTCTGCCATTCAGCTCAAAATATTCCTTGATTCCTCTTTTAATTTCTTCTTTACCTGTAGGATTATGTAGGAGAGTGTTTAATTTCCAGGAAGTTGGGTTTTTCCTAGGTGAAACTGATTTCTGCCCTTTTAAACTCATCTAGACTTCATTCATGACCCAGATTGTTCCACACACACCTGAACGTAATGTATATTCTGCAGCTGTAAGATACACTGTTCTGTCAGTTGGATCAGTATTGTTGGTAGTATTGTTCAGATTTTCTACATCTTTACTGTTTTTGACTATTTTTTTTTTCAGTGACTTTTTATTGCTTCCTGAAAGAGTTGACTGCTGCCCCTCCCCCATCCCCCCCATCACTAGGGAATGGTCTGTTTCTCTTCATTCTTCAAATTTTGCCTTGTGTGTTTCGAAGCTCTTACTAGGCCCAGCACACCGGTTGCTGGGGCTTCCTGCTGAATTATTCCTTTTGTCTTTACCAAATACACCTGTCCTCATCTTAGTAATGCTCTTCTTCAGGAAGTTGGTTTTATCTGGATTACATGTACTATTAGGGTCAGAGACACCATTTTGTTTGTTTCCTGGTTTTTGTTCTGTTCCATTACCCCTTTCCTTTTGAATTGTTGGGGCGCTTTTCAGCCCTCTAGATCACCTGTTTGTTGACTTTGGGGCTCCGTCTCGTGTTATGCTCTAG